CGTCTCTACTAAAAATAGAAAGAAATTAATCAGACAGCTAAAAATACTTAGAAAAAATTAGCCGGGCATGGTGGCGCACGCCTATAGTCCCAGCTACTCTGGAGGCTGAGGCAGTAGGATCGCTTGAGCCCAGGAGTGTGAGGTTGCTGTGAGCTAGGCTGAAGCCACGGCACTCTAGCCCGGGCAATAGAGTGAGACTCTGTCTCAAAAAAAAAAGAAATAACAGTAAAGGGACCAGCAGCCACTCTCGTGACATCAGCGCTCACCACACGCCAGGCACCGTTCTGGGCACTTCTTTCCATGCAAGAGCTCACTTACCTATTGCTGCAAACGCTGGAGGTGGGTGCTGCGATCCTCCCCATTTTGCAGAGGGAGTCACTGAGGCAGAGAGAGCTTCAGTTGCTCTTCCAGACGGTCTGCGTCCTCCAAAGCCTGCTCTTCAGCCTCCGAGCTCCACCACCCGCAGCAGAGAGGACTTTCGGGGTGCCGGGAGCTCCAGGAGAGGGTGGGAGGACAGGGGCAGAGGAACGGGGCCCTGGTGGGGATCACTGAACGCAGGCTGGTGCCCTCCGCTCCCGACTCAGATGGGGCCCGGGGAGGGCGGGCCAGCGTCAGCACGCCCAGAAAGAGCAGGTGGCCCTAATCCCAGCGAATGATGACCAGCTGCTTGGAGGCCCGGGTGGGCGGTGAAGAGGGCGGTTGTGGCTGTGTTCAGATGCACCAGAGTTGGTTTTCATCAGGTGCGGTAAGACCTGCAGACACAGAAATGATCGTCACGAAGAACATTTTGTTTTGCTTTGAAAGAAACTTAATTTTGCAGAGCAGTTTTAGGTTCACCCCAAAATTGAACAGAAGGCGCAGAAAGTCCTAAGATACCCCCTACTCCCCCGACACACATGCAAGCCTCCCCCCACTGTCAGCGTCCCCCACAGAGCGGGGCATTTGTTATAATCGGTGAACCTGTATGGCTGTGTCATTGTCCCCAAGAATCCACAGTCGACATTACGGCGCACTCTTGGTGCTGTGCGTTCCGTGTCTGGGCAAATGTGCGATGACATGAACCCACCATTATAGGACCATACAGAGAAGTTTCACTGCCCTAAAAATCCCCTGTGCTCTGCTCCCTCCCTCCCCCAACCCCTGATGGTTTTACTGTCTCCACAGTTTTGCCTTTTCCAGAATGTTCTACAGCTGGAATCATATAGTATGTAGCCTTTCCACATTGGCTTCTTTCACTTAGTAATATCCATGTCTTTCCATAGCTTGAGAGCTCATTTCTTTTATTTAATTTTTTTTTTTTTTAGTGATGGGATCTTGCTATGTTGCCCAGGCTGGTCTCAAACTCCTGGGCTCAAGCCATCCTCCCACCCTGGCCTCCCAAGTAGCTGGGACCATGCCTAGCAATAGCTCATTTCTTTTTAGAGGCAAATACTATTGCTCTGTCTGGATGTAGCACCGTTTGTTTATCCATTTACCCGCCAGAGGACATCCCAGCTGCTTCCAAATTTTCAAATGCCAAAAGTCCCCTGGTCCTGGGGCTTTTAGATTTTATTGTAGAGCTCTGAGGGTGCCACTTCTCAAACCCCAGTTTGAGAAGCACATCCCTCAGGCGGGGCTTACCCCAAATCCGTCTCTTTTTTCCCATTTTATTTATTCCAGTCCATTCATTCATTCATTCATTCATTTTTCTCCCATGCCTTCCAGGCGCCAGGCATTGTGCTGGGGTCTTAGAGATTCCATCTGGTCCCCGCAAAGCCACGCAGGGAAAGCGGCAGTGCCCCACAGCCGGGGCGGGCTCTCAGGGCTTACGCTCCACGGGGCCCACCGTGGCTATCGCGTGTCCCAGCCCTCTGGGTCACCGCGTTGGGATCCAGGCCCCGCACAGCTGCCAGACCTCTCCCCGTGTGGGTGTTCACTGTGTCCGGGCTCTGAGCGGCCCCCACTGACCTGGGGCCACGTCTCTGTCTCTCCTCTGCAGTCCACGCTCATTTCAGT